ACTTACTTTGTCTTTTTCGGTTATTTAGTTTAAGGTCTAATAAATAAAGTTACCAGTTTAGTCAGGCTTTGCAAAAATAAATAAATTCTGGCATAATGATTTCTTTAAAAATTTGTTGCGCGGTGCATTAATCTGTATTCATTTACAGAACGAGGTCGCATCGAAAGGGATCATTCTTTCTTCATTAGTCAGACCAGAAAATTTAGAAATCCTGGAATGTACTGATGTCATTGACTGGCTGGTCCTACGTACATATGACACGTCGTCCAAACCTAGTGAAGTAAGCAAAAATTTTTTGTGCTGTATTTTATGTACTGTAAAGTGTAAGCCAAATACCGTCTAGAATCAATGTGCATTACAGTTCCCCTACATGTAATTAGAGTAGTCTGCAGGTTCGTGGTGGGCCTAAAGATGCTCTTATCGCTTACGCCACCCAACCATCAGGATCATTGCTTTATCAAGAAGCTTTCCTAACAACGTATCGTAGCTTTGTTACTCCAGATGAACTTATCCAAAAGCTGATTAAAAGGTATTCATTGGATCGAACGACTCGTAATGTTCAGTTTTGCGAGCAGTCTCTAAACTAACAAGAATATATGTTAAACGACATCTGCTTAGTTACCATTTCTTAAACATAGCTAGAAAATTTCTGTAAAATGCACACGGAATCCATGAATTAGTTCTGTTAAGACTGTCAGTTACTCAGTAAATTTTTCTTCTTGTATGGAAACTGTTCAGCAACTCTGTTGATTGTGACTAAGTTCAGAAACTACCAAGACTTTTAGAATATGAAGTTCCTTAAACAATAGGTCTTCAAAAACTAAGGGGTCGATAATACTTTATTTAGGTATTTGTATATGAGTGCAATAAACGAACAATCATCCGTAAAAGTAGCTCGCCAAACTTTTTCCATGTTGGTGAGAGTTGTTGATGAACTATGTACTGTCGAACTTACCCGGAAGCTTATTCGTTCAATCACCACGTTCATAAACCGCCTCGTTGAGAACGAGAATTACACGTTTGCAAGAATCATCAGGTTTATTTTCATATAGATGTGCTTCATGAGTCAGTAATTTCGAGTAAAGCCAAATTTTAAAATAGGATTTGATAAATACATGTTTTCTTGTGATCTTTCTTTTAGGAGGAGGCTAATGGCAAGAATGGAACAAAAATTCACACAAAAAGTAGCAGCCATATTTGTAGAACGACCTAATTTTAGAGGATCAAACTTCAAGTATGTCTTTGAATCTTGTTTCATCTTTCAATTGTAATTTGTTAAGTGACTTTATTTTTAGGCAGATGACAATTTTTGACATTCGATCTGCAGTAGTTGCCAAACAGATGACTTTTTTGGATGCAGAATTATTTCATATGATTGAGGTCATATTTTCTTTTGAGAGTAAATGTAACGAATTTAAATAATGAGAGCTTAATTTTATCTACAACTCATGTTTTCCAGCCAGCTGAAATGCTGTGGTGGGCCCAGGAACAGAATGAAAAGAAGAGTCCTAATTTGTGTCGTTTCACGGAACATTTTAACAAGGTAAAGTAGAATGGTTGCCAGCAATGACAATTAAAGTTTAAAATATTAATAGATGAGGTGACAAAAATTTTTCTGTCTAATAAGACTAATTAATAATTTTGGTTTTTACTTTATATATGTGCTCTAACTCATGCTTTTTAGCCAGCTGAAATGCTGCGGCTCAGGAACAGAATGGAAAGAAGAGTCTAAATTTATATTAATTTCAAGTTCATATGCTTTGACAATTGGTGCAGTAGAATAATTTTGAAAAATTCAATCATTAAGTTTTTATTATAATAAGCAAATATTTGTTTTAGGTCTCATACTGGGTTCGAACTCTTGTATTAGTTCCACATGACCAAAGAACACGTGAAAAAGTTATGATGAAATTTATTAAAATAATGAAGGTGCTTTTTTCTGCTTACTTTCATGATTCATTTATCTCTTTTCAAGTCTGCTTTACATATTTATATTAACTTTTTGGGCTATTGAATTCAGAATTTTATTATCTGTTCCTCAATTTTTCGCTGTAGCACTTGCGTACTATATGCAATTACAACTCGTACTTGGCGATACTGTCAGCACTGGATTCGGGCCCGATTCGAAGACTAGATTGGTCAAAATATATTATTGATCTCTTAAAAGAACATTCGGTCATTATGGACAGTTCACACTCCTTTAAGAATTACCGTACTCTGCTTGGTGAAAGTCATCCTCCATGTTTACCATACATGTAAGCACCCATAACTTTGAATTATGATGCTGTTGAGCAGTAAAATTCGATTGCTAATACTTTTTTGTTTACACAGCTCTGATTATTCGAGAAAGAGTTACCGAGAAATTTAAAAAAATGGTTATTCGAGAAGAGTAAATTTAAAAAATTTACAATATGCAGCAAGCCATTTTATCTTCAGAGGCTTAGTTTTGCAAGATCTAACATTTGTACACATTGGAAACAGTGACTATCTTTCACTTGAACAGAGCAGCGGCAGAAAAAATCTGCTGAACTACGGCAAAAGATGGCAGCAGTTTGCCATTTTGGACAGTATACGAAGATTTAAAAGCTGGTAAGCATATTTCCTCGTCTGGATGAATCAGTGTAAAATAACCTAGCAAATAGGAATTCAAAGGGAGAAAAGTGGTACCCAAAGTGAGGATATTGCTTTATTTCAGGAATTATTCTATAGAAAAAGATGAAAAAGTCATTCAGTTCTTCAATGGATTTAATCATTACTTGGATGAAGATGAAGTGTGGGATTTGTCCGAATCAATTAAACCACGAATACGGAAGAATATATGAACTTTTTAGACTGTTTTTTAGCTCATGCTGTTTAATTTTATAATTTTAGCCCCTTTTGGGTCTGATAAATTCACGTCTGAAGCAAATCATAATCATTGTTCATCGCGGTTAAACATTACCGCGGAAGCATTATCTGACTGTAAAAATCTAATTTAAATAATATAATACTTAGATATCATGGGATATTAGAAATATTGTTGGTTATCAGTGATGTTCACAGTATGTGACTATATCCTTAATTGATGAAACTTACTGCTAAAAATTGGGAAATTGTAAAATTTTTCATATCCTTGAAAAAGATTTTTAAATATCTGTGGAGGGATTTTTTTTCGTACGATTGGAAAGGTTATTAGTGATTCAACGAACAAGGATCTTGGTGCATCCATAAATCATCGCGTATCTGTTTCGTGGTCATTTAAGCATCAACACTTTATTTCTTGAAAGAGGCTAAGAATGTCGTTGTCATAGTTTCGAAAAATTAAAGTGTTATTTATAAGTTAGAAGAAGAATAGAATTGACGAAAGATGGACTTACGTCGAATCCTAGGGATAAGTAGTGTCATTTTTGGAAGGTATCTACACAATAAGTATATATATATATATATTTGTCTATATTTGATATATAATTAACAAGTGTGGAGGTTAGTTTTCGTTTTCGCTTTAATGATTCTGGTACTGGATCGTACTTCGGCGCCCTGGCTATACTTGTCAAGCGCTCGGTTCGCTGTGTTCATTATTTTCGCTTCGTCCTCGTGGAATCCATATCGACTGTCGAAGGAGATGCTTCCAAGCGTCTTCTTGAGGACCATCGATTTATTGTATACCTCGACGTAATCAGTTATACCGATCGCCTTCGCTTAGCGGTTGTGGAATATATATTTACCAGGAGGGCAGCAATTTTGAAGCGAAAGCAGGGAAAGACTCACAGCACATACTTGGCAATTATTGAGCCCTACCTTCAGACTAAATATAACTTTGTAAAAAATTCAACCGTTGAAAACGTATTAGCTGCTCTAGACGCACTCCTATATAGCAAAATGGAAAATAAAACGACTCGAGAAGCTATACAAAATGCCATAAATGAGCTAGCCTCGATGTCAAATTCATCAATATGACTACGATACGGAGACGTTACCCCGCAAGATGAGGTACGATACTCTCATCTCCAAGACAGAAATATGTTTGGAGCTGAGAAGGGTGTTTGCTGACATTGTAGGTAACGTGTGAAGATGGCGGATCATCTAGCAACGCAGTGCGAGGAATGTTATAACTATACTAGAAGGCACAATGAGGTCCTGCGATGTATTTATTTAGGACTCTGCAAAAAGTATGGTCTAAAAGCATTCCCATGCATGCGGAGCCACTCCGTCCAAAAAGTCGTCGCTAATGAGAACGTTGAAATCAGAGTCGACATGCAAGAACTGAAATTAGAATAAGAGCGAATCGACCGGACATCTTGGTATATGATAAGAAGCGACACGAAGTACTCCTGATGGAGGTTGGCATCACTAGTCAGGACAGGTTGATGGCAGCGAGGACCGAGAAGAAGCGAAAGTACGATTTACTCGGGGCAGAGATGAATTGCAGGACCAAAATGATTCGTATGTGATGACTTCGGATGGGATAGTGACGAACATCCATAATCGTTACGCGAAGGAAATCAGTATATCTGGTCACGTTGAGTCGTATACCAGGTCGATATTGCTCAGGAAAACGCTCGAAAGCATCTCATCCGATCAGCGCCGTGGATTCGTCGAGGACGAAAATCCGGCGCCAGAAAAGAATGACATTCAGGGAAAGAAATATATATATATATATATATATAT